CACCCGCGCCCTCCGCCCCGAGCTCTGCCGTGAGCGCACACAGGTGTGCGTGCAGGTGCCTGTGCGGCCGCTCCCGGCGCCCCGCGGCCCGGCCCCGCGTGCGCCCCGCCGGACGCCTTCCGCTGTGGGGGACGGCGGCGACCGAGGCCCCGGAGGGCCCGAGCCTGAGTCCATTGTGCTCCGCGGGCAACTTCTGGTGGCGGGCGTCCTGCTGGGACCGGGAAGCGGGCTTGGCCTTAGAAACCGGCTTTGCTGTGTCTGCCTTTTCGTCGTGCGCCGCGCGCGTCCCGATGTGTTCGTGTTTTCCCAGCAGTCGCACGTCGGGTTTACACATTCCCTCTTCCGACTTCTCCCAGACTCGGTCCCAGCCCTTGCTCGGGGGTGAAGGAATTCTGGTGTAGAATCGCCGGATTTGTGTCTTTATTGCTCTTGAAATTGAGAGCTGCTTTGCCGAGTCATAACTTGGAATAAAGAGCATTCGTTCCTGTCGCTGTTGTGTGACTATAGTGCGACAGACTTTTTTATTTATTTTGAAGGTTATTCTGAGACGGAGAGGGAGAGGGAGAGGGAGAGGGAGAGGGAGAGGGAGAATCCCAAGCAGGCTCCGTGCTGTCCGCGCGGAGCCCGACGTGGGTGGGGCTTGAACGCACAGCCCTGAGATCGTGACCTGAGCCGAAATCAGGAGTCAGGTGCTCAATAGACCGAGCCCCTGTTTTACTTTTCAGGGGCGCTTCAGTAGTTAACAGGTTGGGGCTGCAAATATTCTTGTACGTGTTTCTCGGTGAACGTGTGTCCGCATTTCTGTTACGAAGATGCCCTGGGGTGGGACCGCTGTGTAGGTTGCGCATTTATCATTAATAGACACTTTCCTCCGGTTTACCAAAGTGCTTGCACCACCTTGCACTCCCACAGCACTGAATGAGGGGTGTGGTTGCTCCCCAGCTTTACCAACGCTTAGTATTTTCTGTCCTGTTTAAATGTAAGCCATTGTACTAAGCGTCGTAATATTTATTGCGCAACAAATTTTATTTGCATGTCCCTAACGGTTTAGTGAATTTCGGTACCTTTTCATGTGTTTATGGGTAGTTGGAACTCTTGTGAAGCCTCAAGTCTTTTCCTCATTAAAAAAAAAAAAGTCTATTCGTTTATTTTGGGAGAGCGTGTGTGCAAGTGGGGGAGGGGCAGAGAGAGGGAGAGAGAATCCTAAGCAGGCTCCGTGCTGTCAGTGCGGAGCCTAACGTCAGGCTCAGACTCACGAACCATGAGATCGTGACCTGAGCGGAAATCAAGAGTTGGGTGCTTAACTGACTGAGACACCCAGGTGCCCCCCCAGGGTTTCATTTTCTCCATGTTCTTACTGACACATGTTGTTTTCTGCGGGTTTTTGTTTTTTTTTTAATTTTTTTTTCAACGTTTATTTATTTTTGGAACAGAGAGAGACAGAGCATGAATGGGGGAGGGGCAGAGAGAGAGGGAGACACAGAATCAGAAACAGGCTCCAGTCTCCGAGCCATCAGCCCAGAGCCTGACGCGGGGCTCGAACTCACGGACCGCGAGATCGTGACCTGGCTGAAGTCGGACGCTTAACCGACTGCGCCACCCAGGCGCCCCTCTGCGGGCTTTTTTTTAAAATAATAGTTATCCTAATGGGTGTGCAGTGTTAACTCATCATGGTTTTTATTTGCATTTTCCTGATGATTAGTGATGTTGAGCATTATTTCGTGTGCTTCCTGGCCATATGTATATCTTCTGTAGAGAAATATCTATTTGAGTCCTTTGCTCATTTTTGAATTGGATTGTTTTGTTGTTGAGTTTTAGGAATTTTTTGTTTTGAGAGAAACAGCAAGTGGGGAGAGGGACAGAGGGGGTAGAGGAGAGAATCTTAAGCAGGCTCCATGCTCATGGCGCAGCCCAAGGTGGGGCCTGATTCCACAACCGTGGGATCATGACCTGAACCAAAAGCAAGAGTCGGTCACTCAACCTATTGAGCCACCCAGGCGCCCCGAGTTTTAGCACTTCTATATATATTCTGGATAGTAATCCCTTATTAAATGTGAGATTTGCAAATATTTTCTCCCATTCTGTGGGTTGCCTTTTTACTCTATTGATAGTGTTCTTGGCAGAAAAGTTAATTTTGATGAAGTTCAGTTTATCCATTTTTTTCTGTTTTTGCCTGTGCTTTTGGTGTTGTATTGGATAAATCATCACCAAATCCAGTGTCATGAAGATTTCCACCTATGTTTTCCTTTCAGAGTTTTATAGTTTAATTCTTACATTTGGGGTCTTTGATTTTTGAGTTTTTGCATATTGTGTAGTGTTTAACTTTTAAATACTTACTAATAATCCTGTTTTGTCTTTAGTATTATGAACATCTCAGAGTTCTTTCATCAATTACTTTAATGAGTACATTGAATTTTAGCTATTAACCAGGTGGTAATGATCTATTTTCTTTCTTCCTTTTGCTGTTTATTTTCCCCTTTTCTTTTCAGCTTCATGTGTGCAGAATTGGATTAGTTATAATCCTTGGTTCATACACAGAATTTTCATTGGTTCATATGTGACCTGCCTTTGATTAACCTATTTTTTTTAAATTTTTTTTTGTTTATTTATTTTTGACACACAAAGAGAGACAGAGCATGAGCAGGGGAGGGGCAGAGAGAGAGGGAAACACAGAATCCAAAGCAGGCTCCAGGCTCTGAGCTGTCAGCACAGAGCCCGACGCGGGGCTCGAACTCACAGACTGCGAGTTCATGACCTGAGCCGAAGTCAGACGCTCAACCGACTGAGCCACCCAGGCGCCCGATTAACCTATTTTTAAATGACATGCATCCGTGAACCATTACCCAGGATACTAAAACGTTGTCTCTAGCTTATTAAATGCCCAGCAGGAGACCTGAAATATGGACAGCAATTTATATGTATCTGTTCTTTATACCTGTCATAGTTGCACAGCATCACTTGTCTTTTAGTGCATCTGTTGTTTGGATGCATTTTCTTAGATGTTATCTTCAAAATGGCTTTCTTACCTTGATGCCACTTTTACCGATAGAGCTATTACTTTAAAATGGTCACAGATTAATGCAAAACTGTACCAGAAAATCCCCATAATCCCTTCACTAGTTTAATAATAAGTACCATTAATTGAGTGCTTATCAGGTGTCTTATTGGAGTCTCATAACAAGCATGCAAAGTAGGTATTCCACAGCACGTAGCCAGTGTGCGATAGAACCAGAGTTTGAATCCAGGCAGGCTGATTTCACAGCCTGTGCTATATTTACAGTCCTATAAAGTTTAAACCTCCACCATAACAGAGTTGTGTGGGATCCAGCTAGATTGGTTACATAAAATGCTTATTTTAAGGCTAATGAAAGGACCACGGAGAGACTATGAAACTAGCTGGCAGGGAGTTTTGGTATGGCTGCGCAATTTAAATTCTTCCTTATTCTGGCTATGGCTTAAGATCCCTCACTTGGCTGAAGTATTTTGGGGGGACAGTTCTGGGCTTGACTAGGACTTTTACAACAGTAGAGATTTTAGGACTTTCTAATTTATTTGAATTCCTTCAAATTCCTTCTTTTTGGCCAAATAGAGTGGGGATGTAATGGAGATGCCAGGGATCATTCTCTCTCTACTGTTTCCCTAGGTGAGTTTACCTGCCTTTTTCTACCAGGGTCTCCCCTTCATTTCCATGGCTTACTCCTTGTGCTGCAGATAAAAACTTTAGCTCTTCCCTCTTGAGAAATAGGGGTTGGGCAGAAGATGGGAGGGAGTCGTTAATCTTGTATATAAATTTGGAATGCAGTTGTCTGGGGGTCTATAGGCTTTTCCGAGCTTTTTTCACTGCCTTCCAGACAAAGACCACCAGGAATATACCTGTAGTTGGATAAGTTGGGTTGATGGCATGTTGCAGTGAGGGAAAATGCATACCACTGGGAACTGTGGGGGTGTTTCAGTAAGAGAGTATTAGAAAGGAACTTTTAAAAATAGGATTTGTGCTTGTGTTGGGTGATTTGGAAAGAGTTTAAGAAAGTGGGGCTTTGATCTGTATTGGATGCTGTTAGGAAGCAGAGATAGTTTTATGATTAAGTATTTTAATCTTGTCTAGAAGTCAAGAAGACTGGGGTGAAGCTAAAGCTGGAATTGGTAAAGAAGCAAGTCATTTTTATGAACCATGATGGAAAGATATTTGGTCATTTGTATGGTTTGGATGGCATTCATGTTTCTTGTCTTTGTTCAGTCATGATTACAGAGTGGTATTGTTTATTCTTTGTCCATTATGGTCATAGGATGCCCTTCTGTGATGTTGACGTTCTCTGACGTTGTTTATTTTCAAGGAAGCATTATCGAGGCCTGGCTGTGAGTGCCTTGCTCTGAGATGCTAGCCAGTTTGTAGCAACAACAAGGCCTAGCCGATAGTAGCAGGCGAGCTTCCAGATGTCCGGGGGTGCTTTTTCTTTCTCAGTGTGGTCCACAAAGTCTTGTAGTGGAAGGGAGTAGTGGATACAAAACCAATCATATATTAATTTTATGACGTAGGTGAGCAAAAAGGAATGGGATAGAGGTAGAGAGGATT